CAATGCGCTCCGAAGGAGCGCGTGGGTCCGAGGATGGAGTAGGCGCCGTGGAACAAGTGGTAGGTGGCAGCATGCGCTCCGAAGGAGCGCATGCTGCCGCCTACCACTTGTTCCATGGCGCCTACTCCATCCTCGGACCCACGCGCTCCTTCGGAGCGCATTGTGGGTCCTGCGGTATTTTGATAAAAGACTCCTTTTTGCCTTCTGATCCGTCACAGGGGTTTCTTTGTTTTCTGCTTGGGTTGGGATTGGTTGGGTTGGATTGGGTTGGATTGGGTTGGGTTGGGTTGGGATTGGTTGGGTTGGATTGGGTTGGATTGGGTTGGGTTGGGTTGGGTTGGGATGGGATGGGATGGGATGGGTTGGGTTGGGTGTGGGTGGATGTGGATGTGGATGTGGATGTGGGTGTCGATGTGGATGTGGGTGTGGGTGTGGGTGTGGGTGTGGGTGTGGGTGTCGATGTGGGTGTGGATGTGGGTCTGGGTGTGGGTGTTGTTTTCTTTTAAGTCACACCCCACACCCATGCCCACAACCACACACCCACACCCATACTCACACATCGACACCCACACCCTTATGGAAATTGAAGGAAATTGCGAAAAATGAAGGAGATGAAGCAATTCCAGCGAGGTCTAGGAATCGGAAGGATACAGGCCCTATGACGCGTAAGGCGTGTAATTGGGAATTGAAATAGGGAAGTCGAAGCAAATTGAGGAAAATCAAATTGTTCTAGTAAGCTTCGTCATTAGGTGCATTTCTCGGTATAGATGGAGAGTGAGGGGCAAGGCGGGTAATGAAGTAGGTAATTGTGGAATTGTTGAGAAATTTTGGAGAATGAAGCAGTTGAGAAAACTGAAGGCCGTTGAAGTTTTAGAAGTTATTTACAGCGGATGAGGGATTATGGTCGAGTTGAAGATGGTGATGTTGAAATACAACCTAAGTGTGGAATATGCAGTAAGCGGAAGGACCTAATTGAATCGTATATGTTTTGGTGATATGGATCGTGAGGAAGTTATTGTGCAGTGGATGGTGAAGTAGGAAAAATGGAGTAGAATGTGGGGATGGAAGCGCTTTATGAGCATCAGATGAGTTTGTAAAATTGATCGGATTTCTGGTGATAGACCTGCAATTAGTGGTTTTGGTAGTCATGTGATGGGCAGCGACGGAGATTGAAGGAAGTGCTGAAAATGTGTGAATTGAGGAGAGTGAAGGTATATTTCGAAATTGATTGAACGGAAGATGAAGAGAAGAAGGGAAGGAGTTCGTAAGTGTAGTTGGAGTACCGTTTTGGAGGAAGCGGTAAGCTTTTTGGATAATGAGGGTATTGCTTTTTCACAGAAAGTCCTTTCGACAGTGGCTTCCAGAATAATATGCAGATCATTACACAAAGCCGAAACCTGGCTCTATTGGTAATCGAACGTACATTTTGGGACTAAAATTCACAGTGTGATATCCACGCTCACATTCCCGTTCGCGCATGTATTGCCACTTGCCCCTGCAGCCAGACTGGGTACTCTACGCCGTGAATGCTCTCGTGGGCAACCGCACTGTGACTGATATCTACATTGGCAACCACACCCACATCTGAACTCTGGCGCACATTCACACTGGCACCTACACCCAGATCTACATCCACGCACTAACACCCATACCGACACTCTGACCCAGATTCACACTGGTACCCACACACTCTGATCGATGCCTACACTGCCACCCACGTCCCCATCCACACACCTACACCTACACATGCATAGCACCCCCATCCCATGCCCATACCACACTCACACTCTGACTGACGCCTACATTAGTACCCACACCCACATCCATATTCACACAGCCACACTCACAACCAACCCACATCTACATCCACACACACCCACAACAAACTCATACCCTGATCCATAGTCACACTAGCAACCACACGCAAACTCTAACCCACATTCACACTGGCAGCCACACCCACATTTTGACCGACACCTACACTGACATACGCACACACAGACCGGTAACACACCCACGTTCATATTCACACAGCCACATGCTCAACCCACCCACATCCACATCCACACACTCACACCCACTCTCTACCGCTCATTCACTCTAGCACCCACACCCACACTCTGACCGACACCTGCACCCACACCCGCCGCACATCCATACCCGCAGACCCACAACACACCCACATTCACATCTACACAGTCACACCCACAACACCCATCCTGTAACCCACATTCACACTGGCACGCACACTCACACTCTGACTGACACCTACAGTGACACCCGCACCCGCACCCGCACCCGCACCCGCACCCGCACCCGCACCTGCACCCGCACTCGCACACCGACACCCATACTGACACCTACATCCACACATCCACACCCAGCCACACCTGACACCGACACCCACACCCAGCCACATCTGACACCGACACCCACATCCACACCCACCACACAGGCACACCTACAGACCCACAACACACCTACATCAACATCCACACACCCACAGTCTGACGCACATTCACACTGGAACCCACACCCACACTGTCACTCACATTCACACCGGCACCTACACCCACACTCTGACGAACATCTACACTTGCACCGATGCCCACATCCAGCCACATACACATTCACCCACTCTCAAACCCACACCTTACACTCCTGCCGGTACTCGCAGCCACACTCACATCTACACTTCCACGGACACTTACACCAATCCAGACCCACATCTACTGTCTCACTCACACCGACATGCGCACTGTCTCCCATAGCTATACTGGCATCCACACAGTTATACCGGTACCCGCGCCGCAATGTTTACTTAGTAATGATGAAGTTAGCATTTATTGACGTTTATTTAGAAAAGATATTGTATTTTTGATGAGTTGTATGTGTGAAAAAGTTTCTATGAGTTTTTTTTAAGAAGATATAGAAAAAAATAAGAATTGTGTGCTTTAATATAATATCTAGTTAATGAAAGATAACGCCTTTGAAAGAACGTGTTGAACGTCGATCGATATGTGTATTTGCTTGGTCATTTTCATCTGGTAAAGCTTTTTCAAATTCGTCGATTGATATAATGTTATCAAAGTGTTCCCATAACAATAATTCTTCTGATGATAATTGTTGAAAGTAATTGTTGTTTAGAGCACGTTCATCATTAATTGGTATAGAATTATCGGTGAAGTTGTTCGATGTAGTAACAGATTGGTGACAAGGTTTTTCAAATTCGAAGTTCATCACTTCAATGTCCGTTTGAGATGGAAATATCAAATTCGAAATATTAGATTCTTCTTCATCGAATTCTTCAGCGTACTCTTGAAGTTCATCATCTTCATCCTAAATAATAAAAAAACAGATGGCCTTGTATACGTATTGTTATGAATTGGATGAAACTTACTTTTGCATTATGTTTATCTTCATGATTTTGCATTTTAACCATTGCTTGTTGTTCGATTTCTCCATCATTCATATTTTCCTAGATGAATGTCTGAATACTTTTTCTTTTATCACAACTGACTATCTTCCCTAGTGGAAGTACTCATAACCGAATACTCAAAAAGTACTCATGCTAGAAAATGTCACGAGTACTCATGGGTTTTGAGTACTCGTGAGTGGTACTCGTATCAGAGTCTGAGTATGAAGAATGAGTACTCATCGTGTAATATTAAGTGTTTTGTGAGTACTCCTATCTAATTTTTGTGCGCTCTGCTGGTCTATGTAGAATACTCATAACTATATATCTGGTTAGCACCGTTGTACTACATCGATTTTTATTTAATATAAAATTATTAAGAAAAAATACAGATACGCTTGATCAAATTTTGAGAAAAATGATCAAAATGAGAACTACAAGTTTGACATCAGCTTCATACATTTTAATGCAAAAAATATGACCATAGAAATCTCCATCATTTGTGAAGAAATTTGAATATTTTCCTTATTTGTATTCCATAAAAATACGATTTTATTTATTGTTTCCTTTTTCTTTTAAAAAATCAATAAAATCGTCTTTTCATTATATAAAAATAAAAAAATATTCAACTATCGTCTCTAAGAATGAAGATTTTTTTTTGTCTATATTGTACACAGCGAGAGCACAATAAAACACAGATTAAGAGACAGTAAAATACAATGAAGCAGAAACAATAGGACAGTTTGTAAAAGAATACATACTTTGTTTTCACCTTGCACTGCCATTTGATTTGGTTCATCGATCATAGTTGTTAGTTCAAATTCTAAAAACTTATTATGAACCATTAACGAAGTACGCTTTTCAGTCGATGCCTATACGAATTATTTGATTCTAATCAATAAAATGACCGTCAATAAGCAATATAATTACCTGTTTCTTGTTTTGATCACGTAATGTACAAGATGTTATGATATTCGTCTCTTGTTCAGGTTGAGTATTCTGAAAGCAATGCGACATTTCTTTTTATTGACAACTAAGAGAGACCTACCTTTTTAGAATTTGATCTCAGTATTTTTGTTGAATGTTGTTTGACGGTGCATGTTTGTGTTCGCACTCGTTTTGGCATTGTTGAAATTAAATAATCTAAAAATATAACCATTTTTTTTTCTAGCTATAAATATGAATTATATCTTCATATGGCAACATATAACGTGAGAAATTATATACAAGTATTAAAAAAAACAATGATAATGCTTATTTTCAAATAAAAAAATATACGATATTGTTTGTCTCTAGTAAATAAGCCCATTATAAATTATCATATCAAAACTAAATTTCAAGACATAAAATAGAAAGTAAACGTTCAATAAAATCATATCCATATAATGTTGATTGAAATGCTGTCTCCATTCACTTTTCGAGAATTCAAAACACACTTCAAAAGGCGATCTCAAAGAAATTTGATTACTTATTCCACAAAACAATATTGGTAAATAATATATATACGTGCTTCAATAAAAAGGTCATCATTGTTTTTGTTTCATTGAACGAAAGTTTGGCTCTAAAAATAAATAATCGTGTACTTTAAAAGCGAAAAATATTGAGACGACAAAATTTTATTACTTACTGGAAGAAGAGGAAGACCGATGTCTTTATCATATGGATTAAGACCTATATGATTACAATTCCAATGATGCAACATCAAATGAAGAGCAAGTTGACAACGTTCAGAGCACATCCTGGAGAATGACTTGGAAAATTTATTTAACCATGAAAATGTTTGTTCACATGCTTCAGTATTGATGCCATCGAGATCCGGGTTACTGTCGGGATTTAAATATTTTTTACACCAGGGATCACGATGATTTTGATAATGTAAACGATCAATTGTAAATGTACACTTTTTATAAAGAAATGTGGTAGCTGCATTACGACGAAGTATACCATCAAAATGATCAATAATTGTTTTAATCAAATGACATCCGTCATCGTATACGATATTTCGAGGAACATGACAAATCGCTGCATCGTCCTGATCGACTCCTGTTTGGCTAAATCGAATTAGTTGACATAAACCACTAATTATTTCTTTAATACTTTCAGATCTTAAAAGTTCAATAGAAGAAACAATAATATTACAATTTAAGATCCATAAAACAATCCCTAAGGTACGAAATGTATTGGAAGTATAATTGCCAGGTTTGCTCTTAAGTGTTTTACATGATAGCGCATCATAAAATACCATTTTTCCGTTGCGTAATTGAGTAGGCTTTTCATACCAAGATTCATTGGGTGTCAATGGTTCAGCCAAATTGATTTCCGTATCATCTGTCATACCTTTATGTTCTTCACAATAGACATCTTGATATTGTGGTGAGTTTCGACATCCTACAGATATTGATTCAAATTCAGGTGTTTGAATTACCTGAAAATATTAAATAAGAAACTTCTCAAAAAAGAATTTCTTATTAAACTTTCTTCTAATATTGCTCATTCGGACAACACAAGATTGAGCAAGCGTATTTACTTATTTTCGAAGGAAAAAAAATCAAGCACTCATCCTTGTATCAAGATATAATAAAAAAGGCACTTCTTGGAGCAGTTTTTGAGATTAAAAGAGGTTTTAACACAAAGAGATGCTGAGGTAGACTAAAAATTGTAACGATGCTTGTTGGAAGCTTTAGATATGCCTTCAGGGAGTCATTTCATACAAAGTCTTATGTCGATAAGAAGTGTGGTTTAAATCAAAGCAGTCGATTAATACTTTACCGAACTACATGCTATATTTGTGGATTCATTTTTCTTCTAAAATATAGTTTTAATATTTATAAAAAAGCTAAAAATGATATTAATAGATATGAATATAAAGGATTTTTATTAATAACTCTCTTCTCGTATGAAAGCGCTGATATTGAGGAATTCTTCGCTATAACAATTTTTCCAAAAATCGTTTGAAATAGAACCTCTGAATCATCATATAAAAAGCTCACATTATAATGCACATAAAAGAAACCTAATTTCGGTTGGATTGTTTTTCACTATCAAAGTCAGCAATTTTCTTTAACCTGATTTTTTTTATTTTTGTCTTTCTGAGTAGTTTAGTTTTTAAAACCTACGTTCAAATTGTAGACACATATTGGTCGTCGAATTTTATAATTTCCATCAACAATAAGTGCACGTGAACAATGTATTCCACATGGTTTAACAGATTTATGTTGTAACCAAAAGTTTGACCAAAGATGATGAACGTGCGATTCGATGGATTCAAAGTATGGATCCATCTCTTCTTGTCTACATAATTTTGGTAGAGCTATTTCAGATAAACCCATGAAAAATACAAAATGAATTAATGCAAATGATAATACTGTTCGAGTAAAGAGTAAAAAACCCAACTTGCTATCGCCAATATTCTTCTGCCGTCGTTGAATGTTGTAAGAGGAAACAAAACCCTCTAATGTTGATGAATTAGCAATTAAATCGGACATATATTGAATAAGAATATTTCGATCGAAAACGCTTTTTCCACCGAAATATAAGAAGTTGGAAGTTCTGAAAGATTCACAAGTAAAAACACGTTCGTTATTATGTTGAATAAAGTTAGGTGTTATTATTGTTTTATCGTGATTATTCTTATTTGTTCGAGAATGTGTACATGTTAATGTGAATACAACTGCAGGTACAATATGATGGTTGTGTAAATATAATGTCACGAGATGTTCTTTTGATAAATTACGATCGAGCTTCTTGGAACATGTTGGACATATATCGATAAATGGGATAAATTGATAAGGTGTAAATGATGGGAGTTTGTTTAACAATGAAAACTCCAAAATTAAATCTTTAGCATTGAAACCAGTTGAAAAACTTGGTAATATATTCGAGCCAAAAAGAGATGAAATAAGTTGTAATTTGTTTGCATCAATTTTAATATTGAATTGTTTGTTGAACATATCGGACATAAGTTCAAATTTACCAGAAGTATATGGAACCAATGCAGCAGAAACTTCTTGAATAAGACCCAAATGAGGAAGTGATAATGAATTTTGGCATAATTCCAGTAAATTATTCAATTGTTGGTTATTAAGAATATCGAAAGGAGCATACCTGTTTGACATATCAAATATTTTTGTTAATTGTTATAAAATATCTGAAAGAAATTGTATTTATATAGAGACAAAAGATTTTTCATAAGTATGTATGAAAAGAATATATCTTCAGTATTATTTAACAGGATATAGATGAATACAAACATAACAACTACTCTAGATTTAAAAAATCTTCAATAACTCATTAACTCGAATAGAAAAAAAAAGAAGTTATTCTAAAGAGTGATTTAAATGATTACCTTTGTATTCATATTAGAATACAAATGAAAAAAGTCATAAAAAGTTGAAGGAAACGAAAGAAATTATTATGAAAGATAATAAAAATAAGACTATGGAAAATATGCTAATGGAAAAAGATGTTAAGTATGATGAATAGAATATGATTTTTTTTTCATATTGATACATGTGACTAAAGAAAATTTAATATTATCAATAGCTGATTCTTGTAAGCCTGACCGTCGTCTCTATTTTAATCCATCGACTAAATTTGTTTCTTGCCAAGAGCACGGGATCTGTTCACTGCAGTTTGTTTGAGCCGTGTTGCAGCCAAATCCACTGGTCGTGGTAAACAAAATTGTGCTGCACCTGACGATGAAGCTTGATTTAAATCTGCAGCTTGTTGAACTGGAATCCCAGTTGAAATGTTTGTATCTGAAGGCATACAAGCAATAACGGGGATAGGAGTAATAGAATTCGATTGTGATGATTGTTGAGAAATAGATGTAGAAGCAGCAACAGATGTTGTTGAATCGTTGACTGTATAAGATAGAAAAAAAATATGTTAAGAGTTGTGCATGAGCTTTGAACTCTACTGTTCATAATGATGAGAAAACAAAAATCTTACAGATAAAGGGAAAAAACAGAACTCTAAAAAATATTTCATTGTTTAATGAATCCAATGCACTGTTACTTAAAATATTGACTTAAAGTTCTTAATAACTAATAAATTTTATTTTAGTTTTCAATTTTTTCTCCTGATTTTCTATGAGTTTCTGTAGCTTATTATTAGAGAATACTCTAAAAAGAACTTTACTTTCTCTGCAGCATAGACACTTTCATCTTTTGAAGAACGCATAGTATTATGTGATCAGTATCCTTCTTCTTGTGATCAGTATCCTTTTTCTTTTTCGGATTCTTCAGATGGAAATGTAATTTTCTGTTTTACCATGAAGAGATCTCAAGGGATTTTTAAATACATATTCTAAAAATATTCACTTAGATATTTCATTAATTTAATATGCAATGACTCATTCAATAAAATACAGAGCATTATTCGAAAATAAATCAACGTACCTGTCGGAGTATTGGATGCATTGTTATCCCGTGGATTATTATTTTTTTCTTCATTCATTTGACTAGGATTAACATTACTTGAAGCTTTTGTAAGACTATCAACATCAAATTGTATATATGATTGATATTGTTGAGACTTTAATAAATTAGCTAATCCATCACTAATAATAACACCTGTAGGCGGCTGAAATTTCAACAATGTTCGTTGAAATACACTCCAATTGATATTAAATTTTGCAAGAGATTCTTGGAATTCATTTAAATCTGTTAAATCAGAAGATTTCGGTACAGATTTAACCCATACATTGAAAGTTCGAAGAGTTGCAGTTTGTTTTGCTGCTTTCTCAAAACATTTAATGAGTTCTTTGTTTATTAATAATTCAAGAGCTGCTTCATGATAATTTGTTTTTCTCTTCCATAAAGGAACACAATGACTGAGTTTTGTTTTCGTGAAAGCTATTTCATCACACAGTAATATTGATCGTGCTAATTCTTTAGTCCAGTATTCGATTGATGTTGATTGACTATCATTATTTGTTGTTATTGGTGTTGTTGTATTTACAATTAAAGCTGTTGTTTTGTCCAATTTATCCTGATCGCTTTCAATCGTTTGAGAATCATCTATACTTCTAAGCAAAAAGAAAACAAATAAACTTATATTTAGCTTTTTCTTTTTTAATCATTCACTAATAATTAAATATGATAGTAAGATTGAATCAACTAGTTTCTCATATAAGAATAGAACACATCTAGTTCTGCGAGATTTAATAGGACTTGAGAATACACATTTATTCGAAATTTTTAAGTTATTCAAGGATCTGAAGTATTGAAACATTATTTTTCATGTAATTTCTATAATGATGGCGATATTTAAAAATATATAGTTCAGAGATTTTACTATATTAACGTAATACACTCTGAGAAACCTTGTAGAATTTCTTATATTGTAAAGCTAGTGCAGTTATGTACTGCATACAGAACAAAAAAAAAATACCAGGGGATTAGAAACTGTTCAAGCTGATCATATGATATACAGAAAAAAATTGCCTATGAAATAGTCAACATTATATTAATAATTAAACTTACAAACATGAAATACTAGACAAAAGATCTGTCTTACTTTTAATGATTTTCATATGAAAATAATCGATTTCTGTTTATCATATATTCTGAAAAGAATATAAAATTTACTACTGCATCATCAATATTTTCGGAAAGCCTAAAAAAATGAGTATTCTAGGATTTGGCATTCGTGTGCAAGTGCTGTGATTGAACAAGCAGCTTCTATTCAAGCTATGGTCGCTACCACTGGTTGTTCTATACTTTTAGCACTACCATTATTTCGGTCAAATTAAAGGACTAAAATCATATACGTACAAACAAATATTTTCATCTCCAAAAATACATAAATACTGATGAAGAAGTAGATTTAACAATTTGACAGCAGAGTTTGCAATAGATAATCGAATTTCAAGTTTAATTCTGGTTTGATCTTCAGTTCGACCAAGAAATTCATTAATTACAGATTTCATTCGTTGTTGAAAAATCAGATTATTTAATCCATAATTTAGATCACCAAAATCATTTTTGTATTTGTCAATAAGATCAAATGTTAATTGAATTAATTGAAGATCTACTGCTAGTCGATGCAAATGCTCACGTGCTTTACCAAGTCGAGCAGTGAGCCATTTATCAACCTTTTCATTTTTAATCACTAAAAAAAAATAATAATCTGAGTAATTGTAGATTATTTAACAACTATGAAACATATGATGCGAGCAGTAATTTTCGCCGTGTTTTTTTTGAAATGGAATCATGTTTCATCAAATTAATATAGGACCTCATTAATGAGCGTAAAGTTTTTATTCTCGATTTGTGCTTTTTAAAAAAGAAAATATATTTTTGGAGAACTTACTTAATTTACACATTAAATTGCCATATGCAATAGTCATGAGACGTGCAGTTGTTTCATAATAAAAGTCGAGATTATTAAGTTGACTAGCTGTAAAAGCAATTTGATTGATTGTCGGTTCATGATTGACGTTCCAAGAAGGTGGAAATGGTTTTTCAAGAGTAAGTGGAGTAGTAATAAAGAGAAAAAGTGATCGTTCAGCAAATGGATTTGGTGCATCACCCGATAATTTTTTTTTTAATAATCGTAATATTGGTTCTTCAGTTGTATTAGCCAAAATGGTGAGCTTTTTTAAATGAAGATTTGATGTTGAGTTTGTCAAACTTTTTGTTACGGTGGCTCGTCCAGAATATAATGTGAGAACGATCTCATAGATATTATTGTGTTCGCTAATCGGACCATCGGGAATTAACCCATTCCGTTTTAAACAGGCATCTGCCTCATCGAGTAGAGCAATCTTATCGTTTTGATGTAATTGTTTGAGCAATCCACCACGGGACATCTGTAATAATAAAATAGCGTTATTTCAGAAATATAATAGAAAACCAAAATCTCATTCAAATTATGATACCGTTTTTAGTCTATAAGGATTATTGGATTTCCACGGTTCTGAAATACATATAGCTGAATATGTAGAAGATAAAATATCACATGGAGCAAGTCATAATTATATTAAAGTTAAGAGATCCTTATGAGACTCTTATTCAATATTTTGAGATATGGATAATCATGAAATGATTTCCGAAGTTATTTTTATTTCTCTAACAAAAAGACATTTTTATAGATGTGAAAAGATCTAATGTATGATGTTTTATGCCCGATTTTTTGCATTTATTTATCTATATCTTCTTATTATACCATTTATCCATATATGATGGATAAGAAGAAGATACTTAGCACAGAACAGAGCGAAATAAACAGTGATGGGGATTACATGAAAAAATTTAGTTCAAACAGAAATATGGGTACTTAGTATATATAATTTGAAAAAGAACAAAATCGGCAAAAAACATGTAAACTGACAAATTGGTTATTTTTAACACGTTTTGACAAGCTAACCAATTTTCATCCAATGAAGAGAAATAATTAGAAGTAGTATGAGTCTTTTCCATTCTCGTATAATCGATAGGTGATAGAATCCTCCTATTTATAATTAATTAATTCGTCTATGTATAATCACTTTGATGAATGAAAGAAAAAGTTAATAGTATCGTAAATGTGAATAGTAGATTATCAACAGATAGTCAAGAAAGATTTTAAATTATCGTATTATTAAAGACCATTAATCGTGGTAATGAAGAGCGGAAATTGAGTGTTAGGATATTAATGAAAAGGTATTTAATGAACTCAAAGTACATTTTCCAAGGCAATTAACTCACATAACAATCTGACGCATTAACTCAAAACTTTTGATAAATAAGTTGGGCCACTTAGTATAGATACTTATATTTATTTCATACACAAAATAACAAAATATAATTTACCTCATCAAGAAAATGGCATGCTTCCGTGACGTTCACTTCTGATTCTTTGGTATGTAATTTGACTTTATCCATATTCCCATCATTATAAATTGGACAATTGGATATTGCATCGAAAAAACGTCGATAAAAAGCGCTTTTGCCGAACGCTAGCCACACTCAAATAAAAATATTAGTGAAAAGTGTGACAAAAGCAACTAACCTGATCCACAAACAAGAAATGAGTACAAATTATTTGGAATTGGTTCTCTGTTATTTCTATGTACGAATACTCCTGAACAAAGATGAGCTGTAGTTCCCAATAAATACCAAGACAAAGCTCCTTGGTCCAATAGATGAACATCGAATTGATGATTTAACCAACGATTGATTCTGGTACTGAATATTTTTTCAGGATTAAATGAAAAAGATTTTTCAATATTTGCTAAACTTTCATTATAAAGACGAGTAAGTTTTGATTGATTATTTGTTTGAGATGATGGTGTTGCCAAGATTGAAGATCGAGTATTTCGCATGCTTCTTTATGTATTAGATAATACTTGCTATTAGATTGTGTAATTTGATAAAAAAATCTGAAAAAAAAATACATAATACACATACAATGTATTATCATATACAGGCAATCTTTTTTTTCGATGAAATAGCCACAATGCGATCATATATATATACTCGTCTCCTCTATTCAACACAGCGGACGTGTTCTTTTTCTACCGCCAGACGTACTTCCTTTGTTCATTTCGTCGTCTGATCAATAAAGAAGAATCATTATGGCGTGTGATCGATACTGGTCATTGCAATATTTTCGTTGAATTCATAATTAGAGTCCACTGTACAGAGATTATTTATACAAGAGGGACCGAAAAAAAAAGACTCCACTATGCGAAGTTTTATTGTATATAGAATAATTTGTCTGCATTGATGAATCAAACAATAGAAATACAGATTATTTATCGACCTGGAGAATCAACTTATAAAATTAGACCACCCACTATTGAGTTAAAGTTTCAGAGTATTAGCCGCAATTTCTGACAGAACCGCCTACTGTCATCAATATAGAAACCTCATAAATCATTCAGTGTAATTCTTTCATCGATTACTTTGTCACCTCCTTAGTTCTTCAGTGCTTCACTCACCAGTGTGTTGGTTCGTTAGTCTGTTAGTCTATCAGGCCGTTAGTTTATATTATCAGGATTGTTGCACATAAAGATATCAAAAATTAAGATTTCATCATTTAAAGTATTCGACTAAGCATTAGACCAGTTGAATTCTGTTTCAATAGTGCAGTTATCGATTTCATAATTCGACAAATACAGATGCGGCAAAAATTATCCGTACAATTCCTTTTTTGATCGGACATAGTCAAAACACAGGCCAGGTGTGGGTGTGGGCGTGGGTGGTAGTGGCTGTGGGTGCGGTTAAATTGAATACTAATACCTACACCCACCCCATACCCACACCCATCACACCTACACCCACATCTACATCCACATTCCACCACATCTACACCCACACCCTCAAATGGAATCCTAATACCAACAACCACATCTCTACACTCAAATCCATTCCAGACATTACATCCGAATTCCGGATTCACATAGGGGTTTACACTTGCACCTATACATACATACTTTATAGTCCGACTCCACATCCACCGTAGCATCGATACCTGGAATGCCAGAGGCATTACCTAGTATACACTAGCATTACATTAGATGCTAGTAACATCACTGGGATGCTAGAAACAGTGTCGGAGTTCCTAAAGATATTATCCTAAAGGAAAGAAGCATTACTAAGATGCTAGACACATCACCTAGACTACTAAGTGCATCACCCGGAATGCTGGTTATATTACATATGACACTAGAAACGTCACGTGGAAAGCGAGGGGCATCACTGAGGATGCTGCGAATAATTCAAGTGATACCTGTCGTATCCCAGGTACTGCCTATAATAACCCAAGTGAGGTTACCAGCACACTAGTGATGCATCTAGCATTCCAGGTAATACCAACAGCAACCTGCGTGTTGTCACAAATAGTTCAAGTGATGCGTTTAGCATCACAGGTCTCAATGACAACATTTTATTTTCCCGTAAAAACCCAATTTATCTTTCAGAACCGATGAGGTACACCAAATGCCATTTTCCATCAGGTGTCCATGCGAGCATAACTGCTTCAGGAATTTCCTTCAAATCGAAAGAACTGTTTGAGAAATTCATTTCATCTGAGTTCAACTGTTCAAAAACATCACATCAGATCAGACTACGCTTACAAGCAGCTCATCAGTTCCAACCTTTATCGAATCGTCATAGGTATGCCCGCAACAACAAACACTCCGCACCCCGGCCCAGACTCACAAATCAATCAATCGAAGTTTAGATGATGCATTAACCTCACATAGACAAAACAGTAAACTTCATTCAGCGCCGATGTGTTGCGTGCGGTAGTCTCCCGCGGAAAAGTCGTCGCCCGGAAATATCACTGCGGTCTAGTGTTACACACGGAACCGTCGTGCACAAAAATGTCGCCGCGCAACTGTTGGCATGGAAATGTCCTGTCACGAGTTTACACTTATAGCTTATAATCGTATGTGTCTTTATTAAATTGCTTGATTTTCTTGATTTTCTTAAATTCCTTGAATTCCATGGTAGTTTACACTTATAGCTTACTATCTTATGTGTCTTTGTTCAATTGCTTGAATTTCTTGAACACCTTGATTTTCTTGAATTTCTTGATTTTCTTGAATACCTTGATTTTCTTGAATTTCTTGATTTTCTTGAATTACTTGATTTCCTTGAATTCCTTGATTTTCTTGATTTTCTTGAATTCCTTGAATTTCATGGTAGTTTATACTTATAGCTTACTATCCTATGTATCGTTGTTAAATTTCTTTAATTGCTTGAATTTCTTGAATTTCTTGAATTTCTAGAATTCCTTGAATTCCATGATAGTTTCCACTTATAGCTTACTATCTTATACATCTTTGTTGAATTCCTTGATTTTCTTGATTTTCTTGAATTCCTTGATTTTCTAGAATTCCTTGAATTCCATGATAGTTTACACTTATAGCTTACTATCTTATGCGTCTTTGTTGAATTCCTTGATTTTCTTGAATTCCTTGAATTTCTTGAATTCCTTGATTATCT